ATGGCCTAATAGTGACAGTGGCCAAGCAGGGGACACATCCTGATCATTCTGAGTCTGCCAGGGACCCAGGGATGAACCTCCCAACCCCACAGCCAGAAGCATAATTGCACTGAGAAATTTTGAGAGGTCACTTTGCACAGACCTAAGGCCTTTCCCAAGATTTGCCATGTGGACCCTGAAAGTGGAGCTATGGTGGGAGGCAAGTGGGCATTGGGCCGAGTGTGTGGGTGACTGTCTTGATTTGGGCCATACCTCAATTTGTTTTGGTGCTGTTTTCAGCATCATGCAGTGGTGAAAATGGCTTAGTCCCAGACAGGAGTGAGGACTCCAGGGTTCTGTTCCCATGTGTGTACAAAAATGTAGATCATGTGCTGGGAATTTGGCTTAGTGGTAGAGTGCTTGCCTAGAATGTGTGAAGCCCTGTGTTCAATTCCTCAATACCACGTACAAAGAAAATCCCAGAAGTAGCTCTGTGGCTCAAGTGGTAGAGCGTTAGCCTTGAGCAAAAGCAGCTCAGGGACAGTGCCCAGGCCCTGAGTTTAAGCCCTAGTACTGGCAAAAAAAAAAAAGGGGGGGGGGAGATCATGCCCAGTGCTGGTGGCTCACACCTGTAATTCTAGCTACCCAGGAGACAGCTCAGGCAGTAAAGTCCATTAGATTCTTATCTCCAATTAACCACCAGAAAACTGGAAGTAGTGCTTTGGCTCAAAGTAGTAGAGCATTAACCTTGAGCAAAAGAACTCAGGAACAGCACCCAGGCTCTGAGTTCAAGCCCTATGACCACCACCACCAACAACAAAAAGGTATAGATCATATTTGGTGTGTTCTGTCCAGCCATAACACTGCTGAGGAAATGCTTGTTCGAATCCTAGCATCTTTGGGAGATTCCAGACCTTGTTATAGAAAAGTAGGAATGGGGGAAGTGGCGCTGTAGCTCAAGTGGTAGAGCACTCGCCTTGAGCTGAAGAGCTGAGGGACAGCGCCCAGGCCTAGAGTTCAAGCCCCACGACCGACAAAAAAAAAAAAGAAAAAAAGAAAAGTGGGAATGGGGCATGCACCAAAAAAGAAACACTCCCCATGTGCTGGAACATATCCAAGTATGGCTGACACTAACAACCTCTTTACAGTCTTCTTTTGGCTCTATGCTTAAGGATCCTTTTGCAAATGGGAATACTGAGCCCAGAAGGCTAAGTGCTGAGACTAAGGTCAGGCAGGTGAAAAAGAGGCATCTTGAAGTCATTCAAATGCCTTTCAGTTGAACTAATATATTTACATGATATATTTACATACATATTTATATTTCTCATTCCAAAATTCTGCTTAGAAAAATGAAACTTGCAAGGCACTAGTGCCCTATAATCCTGGCTACTCAGGAAGCTGAGATCAGAGGATCACAGTGCAAAGCTAGTCCAGGAAGGAAAGTTTGTAAGACTCTCATCTCCATGAAACTACCAAAAAAGATGAAAGTGGAGCTATGGCTCAAGTGGTAGAGCACTAACCTTGAGCAAAATAAGTGCAGGGATAGTGCCCAGGCCCTGAGTTAAAGCCCCAAGACTTTCCCTCTACCCCGAGGAAAAAAAGAAATTGAAGGTCTCTCTTCCATCCTCCCTGCCTTCCCTGCCTTCCCTGTGACTGCTTGGAACCCATCATTTATATCCACTGAGCTAGGAAACTAGAGGTCAGCCTAAGGAATGGCCATCCTTCCTGTTCCACAATCTCTGCCATTCTATAGACTTATGAAGAAAGGATACCAGGATTCCCACTTCAAAGACAGAGATAATGAGGCCACACAGGGGAAGCACTTAGAGGATGGAAGGGTGAGAACTGTGACAGAGAGAACCAGCTTCTATCCAGACCTGACCTCTCAGTGCTATACATGTGATTAAAACAGAGACAGCTTGACCAAGAACCACTGCAGGGGAAAATCAGGCCCCCAAATATGCTCTTCTACAACACCAAGTACAAAGCTGCACCCACAGTTCTGCCAGGCACCAGTGACTCACACCAGTAATCCTAGCTATTTGGGAGTCTGATATCTGAGGATCATGGTTCAAAGCCAGCCCAGGCAGGAAAATCTATGAGATTTTTATCTCCAATTAAGCACTGGAAGACTGGATATGGTGCTGTGGTTCAAGTGGCAGAGCACTAGCCTTGAGCAGAAAAGCTTAGGAACAGTGTCCAGATTCTATATTCAGGCCCTAGGACCAGCAAAGGTGAGAGAGAGAGAGAGAGAGCAACTGAGCAAGTAAACAAGTAAACAAGTAAGCAGGCAGTCAGGCACTCCCATTATCCAGTATCAGTGATGTCTGCACAATGCTACCTCCTGCCCAGAAACTTTGATCCAGTTTTGATCAAAGCCATCATTTTTCTAAAACTCTCCCAATATCTAGTATTGCCTGCAACATCCATGGCAGGCAACTTCTGAGGCTTGAGTTCCTGGGCATTTGGTTGATTGCACTAACCAGTGTCACAAAAGTTTGGAAATGGGAGAGCTGGAAGACGTTCATGTCCATGATCCCAGGTACTCAGGATGAAGCAATTAAGAGGATCTCAGTTGGGCTGGGAAGGTGGCTCAGTGGTAGAGCGCTTGCCTTGCATGCATGAGGCCCTGGGTTCGATTCCTCAGCACCACATAAGCAAAAAGAACAAAGCCGGAAGTGGTGCTGTGGCTCAAGTGGTAGAGTGCTAGCCTTGAGCTGAAGAGCTGAGGGACAGTGCCCAGGCCCAGAGTTCAGGCCCACGACTGGACCCAAAAACAAAACAAAACAAAAAAGAGGATCTCAGTTTAAGATCAGCCTGGGCAAAAACAGCCAGATCCTATCTGAATCAAAAAGCTGAATGTGCGGCACACCTGTGGTCCCAGCTACTCTGGAGACATAGGTAGAAGAATCATGTATTAAGGCTAACTATGAGGAAATAGCTATTTCCTATCTAGAAATAGCTAAAGCAAAAAGGGCTAGAGACCTGGTTTCAGTAGAATGCCAAGGACAAAGCCCTGAGTTCAAACTACAATACTGCCAGGAGGATAAGAAAAAGAATAAGAGGAAGAAGATGTTTAGAAGTGGGACCAGTTCTGTTGAACAAGATTTATTGTTCTTGTTACTTAGAAACTACAATATTGCAACATTTAGAACAACAAGATTGTTAAGACAGCTTGTATAGGACACAGGAGTCACTAAAGGAGGGGCTACCGAGCTACAGAGTTATGGATTGTTCCTACAGTTCCCAGGTCCGGCAAGGAGCCCCCAGAGTATATCTGTCATCTTCACTGAACCCTAGGGGAGACGCCCATGATATTTTGGAAGTGGTAGGGACAAGAACATGCAGAGAAATCCACTTTTGGTCTGTCCCACACACTGTGACAGCCAGCAGTCTGGGCCTACTTTGTCCTGCTAATCAGGACTCTAACAGTCATAGAGAAGAAATCTCTGTGAGGTCCCTGAGCCCAGTGAAAGTGTCAGAGGTATAGATTTCCACAGCAAGAAAATCACCTACAAAAGGTCTAGAACCTATCCTCAATGCTCTACTTGGGGCGGGGGCAATACGGACTACATATCTGTCACACTGCCTCCCAGCAGTCTGGCTCTCGGACATATATTTCATGGCCAGCACCGTAGGCTACTACAGAATATTGCTCCTCCATTTCTTCTCCTCCCTGGTGTGGGGATAGTGGGATAGTACTTCCCACCTGCTTTTGCCCAGCAGGCCTGTGCCCTGGTCCCTCCCAGCACAGCTGTGTGCATGTGTCCATCTCTGGACCCAGTCCCTACCACTAGGACAGGAAGTGCTTCCCACATCCCCCTGGCAGCACAGCCTGGTGCTTTTTAAAACCTGGCATGTGGTCACTAAGGCCAGTAGTCAGAGATGGTTTCTAAAAGACACCCATATATATAATTAAAATCTCAGTGTTAGGTTTGGTGGTTCCCACCCCTGCCATCTGGAAACACAGATTGTTGGTGTTTGAAAGTGACAGGAGGCTAAAGTAACACTGCCCTAAATATACCATCCTAGGCATTTCCGTGCAGCTGGGCAAACATGGGGTGTATTCTACAACGCTGGCCTTTGCCCAGACAGCTGGGCCTGTCCCAGCCTGGTCCCCAGCTTGACTTGAATCCACGGCCTGCCCTTCATCCTCATCCTCACCTCCATGTCTGCCTCTCAGACCACCCTGCTCCCCACTGGTCAGAGGCATAGCCTGTCTCCAGCCCTGCATTCCCAGTGCACTCACGGTGCATATCAGCTCTTTTCTTTCCAGAGCAACCCTGGGCCTCCTCCACCAGCAGGATGCCTTCCCAGCCCTCAGGGCCAGTTTAGATGTCACCTCCTCCACCCTGTGACTTCCCTGGCCCTTGATGGCCTCTCCAGGAGCTTGTCACCCCTACCTGGTGTTCCTGTTCTTTCTCACCTGGCTCCTTCCTCATTCCCCTTGACCTCTAAAAGGAACTTGGGTGCTCTGAGCTCTGTGACATGGCTCTCCCTCCCATCCTCAGCTCCTCCACTCATGGCCTTGCTCTGCTGAGTGGCCCTCTGATTGCCCTCTCCCTGAACACAGGAAAATTCACACTCAGCCTCCTTATGCAGCTCAGCTCTGGCAGCTCAGCTCTTCCCCATCTCCCATTCTAGGCACAAGGTCTGGCTCTGGGGTGTCCCCTGTCCCCCCTGAAACGCAGCTAATTATGGGCCTTCCACCAAGCATTCCCCCACTATGGCTGTGTCCTTTTCTCTGGTATCCTTCTCCCCTTCGGCTGTCTCATCTGTGGGTTTTGAGTCAATGGAGGACTCCAGGAGGCTCACAAGTGGGGTTTAGGGCTCAGGGCCTGTTGAGCCCTCATGGAGTTCTCACTACATGACTTCATGGAGCACTGTCTATACTCGAATACAGCCTGGAACAAGCCAGCTTGCAGAGGAGGAAGCTGGCCCCAATAGGCTGCCTGAGACCCTACTCAAGCCCAAGCCATGTGGGCAGCTAGTGACTGGCTGGGTCCCGCTTTGTCTTCCAGTGGAGAGAGACCGAGGCCTGGGTCCCCAGGAGCCTCACTGGAAGGAGTTCCTCTTTGACCTGACCCAGATTCCTGCTGGGGAAGCAGTCACAGCTGCTGAGTTCCGGATTTACAAGGTGCCCAGCACCCACCTGCTCAACACGACCCTCCACGTCAGCGTGTTCGAGGTGGTCCAGGCGCACTTCAACAGGTGCCTTCTCTCTGCCTGAGCAGCCATCCTGCCTCAGGGTCTCATGGTCAGGGTCTGGCAGTGTGTCCTGTATGGGCCCTGGTATTGGGGGTAGGGGGAAGGCGAGGATCCCAGGAAAGGGAGCCTCCTTGGAGAACAGCCTCAGAAATGGAAAAATGGGAAAGATACTTGGCCAGATGTCCTCACCCTCCCATTCTGGCTCAGGGACTTGGATGGGTCACTGAGCCACTGAGCCTGTTTCCTCATCTGGACAAGGGTACAGTAGCTAGTTTTTGTTTATTCTTTATGGTACCCGAGGGCCTAGCCCAAACCAGGGCAGGGTGAGGTCCCAGGAACGGTCCCCAGGAGAACCAGACACACATTGAGGCTTGGTGCCAACCCCTGATGCTCGGTTAATTGTTCTTTCATGTCCACAGGGAGTCTGACTTGTTCTTTTTGGATCTTCAGACGCTCCGAGCTGGGGACGAGGGCTGGCTGGTGCTGGACATCACGGCAGCCAGTGACCGCTGGTTGCTGAACCGTGACAAGGACCTGGGACTCCGCCTCTGTGTGGAAGCCGAGGATGGTGAGGCCCAGGGCTTGGCTGGGAGCTGCCCCAGGACTCCTGGGAGGTGGTTTCAGCAGAGGCTCTGGCACTGTGCAGAGCGGCCTCTTGGCTGTGAGCAAGCACTGAAAGGACTCCTTGGGTGGAGGTGAGGTCCTGATAGGAGGTCCTGATAGGGGCTGCTCCCCTCCTCCCCACTGCACACCACCTGCTCCAGTCCCTGTGGCCCTTCCCAGGGAATGGCGCCTCTGTGTCCCTGCGCAGCAGCCTGGGCACTGGGAGGTTCTGCACTGGAGGACCAGAGGGGGAGGAGCTGCACCCTGAGGCTCTGAATACCAGGGGCCTGAGTTAGAATCCTGGCTCTGCAGTGCCCTGACTCAGGGGCAGGCAGTTACTGCCCTTTCTATGCCTGTTTCCTTCTCTTCAGTCTGGCGCTCACTCATTCACACACAGGTGTTTCAGCGGCATTTTGTTTTAATACCAGGCCGCCAAGGTGGGCATAAAACTGGCCTGTCTGTGGTTCAGCAAGAGGGCCACACAGAGGAGCAGATCGGGGCTTAACACAAGTCACTCTTTGACTTAGGGTGCCTCTGACCTAGGCAGGGTGTTTGGAGCCATGGGGTGGGTGTGTGTGACAAGATCCGACTCCGATTTTAAAGAGAACCCTGTGAATCTGAATCAGAAGGATCGCGATTCAGGGCGAGCCCAGGCAAAACGTTAGAGCGGCTGTGCATTAGTAACAGGTGGGGCTATTGCAGGTGTCTAATGCAGGCCACTGTGGATGGTGTAGGTGGGAGGGCCGTGGTCCAAGCCTGGCCTCAGTCAGAGCCGAGGGTGGGTCGGCGTCCCGGGAAGCCCGGGTCTCGGTGGGCGGGCCCGCAGCTCCCCCTGGGCGTCGCTGGGACGCGGCCCCTCCCTGCTCTGTGACGCGGCCCGACCGGGCCGCTCTCGCGGGCGCAGCGGGCTCTCCCCGTCCAGTGCCCACCGCCCGCCCTGCGCACGGACGGACGATGGCGGCGCTGCGGCTCCTGGCGTCGGCGGCGCTCCGGCGGCCCGTCCCGGCGGCCCGCTGGGGCCCGGCGCTGTCCCGGGGCTCCTCGCGCTGCTTCTCTACCAGCCCCCGCTCCCTCATCCAAATCTACACCGACCCGGTGGAGGCGGTGAAGGACATCAAGGACGGGGCGACCGTCATGCTCGGGGGCTTCGGGCTGTGCGGGATCCCCGAGAACCTGATCGGGGGGCTGCTGAAGACGCGCGTGAAGAACCTCAAGGTGGTCAGCAGCAACGTGGGCGTGGACGACTTCGGCCTGGGGCTCCTGCTGGCCGCCAAGCAGGTCAAGCGCGTGACCTGTTCCTACCTGGGGGAAAACGCGCTCTGCGAGAAGATGTACCTGGCGGGCGAGTTGGAACTGGAGATGACCCCGCAGGGCACCCTGGCCGAGCGGATCCGCGCCGCTGGGGCCGGTGTGCCCGCCTTCTACACGCCCACCGGGTATGGGACATTGGTGCAGGAAGGAGGTGCGCCCATGCTCTATGGCTCGGGCGGCCACAGGCTCGCCCTGAGCCAGCCCAGAGAGGTGCGGACCTTCAACGGCCGGCACTACCTCCTGGAGCAAGCCATCAGGGCCGACTTTGCCCTAATAAAGGCCTGGAAGGCTGACCGCTCTGGCAATGTCGTCTTCAGGGGGAGTGCCCGGAACTTCAATGTGCCGATGTGCAAGGCCGCGGATGTCACCGTGGTGGAGGTGGAAGAGATCGTGGACGTGGGCACTTTTCCCAAAGAAGATGTCCACGTTCCCAACATTTATATAGATCGCGTGATAAAGGGGCCGAAGTTTGAGAAGAGAATCGAGCGTTTAATCACACGAAGTGAGAAAGATGATGCCAAAGCCAAAAAGGGAGATGACATCAGAACTCGGATCATCAAACGTGCAGCCCTGGAATTCGAGGATGGCATGTATGCCAACCTGGGCATCGGGATCCCCGTGCTGGCCAGCAACTTCATCAGCCCTGACATAACCGTTTTTCTGCACAGTGAGAATGGACTCCTGGGCTTGGGCCCGTTCCCATTAAAACACGAGGTGGACCCCGATATCATCAATGCAGGCAAGCAGACAGTCACTGTGCTCCCCGGGGGCAGTTTCTTTGGCAGCGATGAGTCCTTTGCCATGATTCGAGGGGGCCACCTGCAACTGACCATGCTGGGTGCCATGCAGGTTTCCAAATACGGGGACCTGGCCAACTGGATGATACCTGGGAAGAAGGTGAAAGGAATGGGTGGGGCCATGGATTTGGTGTCCAATGAGACCACCAGAGTTGTGGTCACCATGGAGCACTGCTCGAAGGATAACAAGCCCAAAATCCTGGAGAAATGCACCCTGCCTCTGACTGGGAAGAACTGTGTGGACCGCATCATCACTGAGAAGGCTGTGTTCGACGTGTGCAACAGCAAAGGGCTAGTCCTGATGGAGCTCTGGGAAGGCTGTACCATGGATGAGCTCAAGAAGTGCACAGCCTGCGACTTCGCCGTGTCTCCAAAACTCAAACCCATGCAGCAGGTGGCAATCTAAGGGTGGCAGCCCTGGGCCCAGTGTGGGTCTCTAATGAGGTCAACGGGGGAAGAAAGAAATTGGACATGCTGCTCAGATTTTTTTCACTTCAGCATGAAAATGCTAGCATGCTGCTGGCTTCTCTGGCTTCTGCCACTAGGCAGACTGTCAAGAGTCACATGTGTTTGATTAAAAGTAGTAGGAAAATATCTAAGCTCAGATCCTGTGTCCTGAGTACTGCGGAGCCCTTGCTATGCTTGCTGAGGGTGCTGCCCCCTGCTCCCCACACTCTGTGCAGTTTGTAGTAATTCCATGCACAGCAGAGGGTTCCCGGTCCGATTGCCCTCCAGTGCTTCCCTCATAACTGAACCATGCCATGTAGGGAAATGGTGAGGCAGAAATCACCCCAGGTACCATTTGCTGCTGCCATAAAAAAAACAACAGGGACCAAGCCGGGCAATGGTGGCTCATGTCTGCAATCCTAGTGTAGGAGGCTGAGATCAGAGGATCACAATTCAAAGCCAGCCTGGGCAGCAAAGTCCATGAGACACTTATCTCCAATTAAACACCAGAAAACCAGAAGTGGTGGTGTGGCTTAAGTGTAGAACTCTAGCCTTGAGCTAAAGAGCTGAGGGACAGTGCCTAGGCCCAGAGTTCAAGCCCCACGACCAACGGGGGAAAAAACCCAGGAAGCTAGAGCTAGGAATGTGGCATGTGGCTTAGTGGTGCTTGCCTAGCATGCATGAAGCCCTGGCTTCAATTCCTCAGTACCATATAAACAGAAAACGCTGGAAGTGGTTCTATGGCTCAAGTGGTAGAGTGCTAGCCTTGAGCAAAAAAGCTCAGAGACAGTGCCCAGGCCCTGAGCTCAAGCCCTAGGACTGGCCAAAAAAAAAAAAAAAAAATCAGGGACCTAAGTTTGTGTAAGTGAGGGAAGAAATGATGTCCTCTCAGAAGCTCTTTACTTCAGCCCTCCCAACTTCTCTTCCAGGCTCACTTTTTTCCTAATTTGGTTTTCCTGTGTCCTGCCCTCCAGCTTCCTCCCCTCCTGGAAGTAATGTAGGTGGGTCTCTGTAGGTCAGGACCTGGTAACTAGAGAGACCCAAGGGGACAGTGGTGCTGGAATTCCATTCAGAATACCCCTCCGTAAATAACCTGTCTCTACATCTGTCTCCAAAGGCTTCAGCTTGCCATAGAGTGAGTCCTAGAAACAAATCACAGCTTGGATGACATGGCCTACTTAGTCCACACCACATTGACATCCTGACATCTTCCCATCTATTTTGCAGCCCAAGAGACCTTGCATGAAATGTTCCCTCCTAACTGAACAGGGGCTCTGGGGAGTGTGGTCCTGAATCTATAGTCTCACAACTGAGGTGAAAACAATTTATAGCTCCATATGTGTGGTGCAGATGCACTTGCTGTGTGCAGCTCCAGAGCCTCAGTGCCATGGGAGTGCCACTCAAATTCCAGCAACTCTCACCCCAAGGAATGACCAAGTGTCCTTGGAGAGAGGCAGGAAGGGAACACATGGGTACAGGGAAGTGACAGGGACCATATCAGATGGGGTGGATGGAAAGTCACTAGTGGCCAGCCCAATGCTTTCTGGGCCTTCTTGGGCAACTGGCAAGAAGAGGCAGAGGGTTCCAGGATAAAGAGAAGGGGATATCTGCCAAGAGAGTAGGAAAGTGGGGGGCATGGTCCACTGGCAGCTGGTGACTACATCTGAAGGCTGAGGTGAGGCTGGGGCTGTAGGAAGGATCAGCTGATGCTACCACCAGCCCATTTAGGCCTTGCAGCCAGCTAGAGGCTGGGGCCTGTCCATGGATAGGGTGCAGTGGGCAGAGCTATAGGGAAGGGGGAGCTCTGGATTCAGCAAGGTTGGCTTTCCTAGGCCTGCCAGGTGCAGATCTCTAAGAGAGGGAAGATGGTATCTGTCTCCCTGCCCTCCTGCCCCCCTACACTGGCCAGGGATCTCTATCTGGGAATAGTACAAATATACTGTTTTGCAACTGCTTGCTTCAGACCCTTGAACACATGTTGCTCTCTGGGCCTTCTCTTCAAATATGCTTGTGTAAAATGGGAACCTTAGATTAGCTATATCCAAGGGCCTTCTGTGCAGTTCATCTGACAGATTCCCTGAGGCTCTCAGCATCCACCCAGGCAGGTTCCGAGGAGCTCTGCAAAGGACTTCTGTACAACTAGCCTAATAAGTCATCATCCTGTGCACAGCAGACTCCAAAGACCCTTGAGCACAACTGTTCAAAAGAAAAGTAGTCAAGGCGCAGGTGGCTCATGCCTGTAATCCTAGCTACTCAGGAGACTGAGAGCTGAGGATCACAGTTCAAAGCCAGCCTGGGCAGGAAAATCCATGAGACACATATCTCTAATAAACCACCAGAAAACCAGAAGTGGTGCTGTGGCTCAAGTGGTAGAGTGCTAGCCTTGAGTTGAAGAGCTGAGGGGCAGCTC